GAGGCAGAAGGTAATTCCAGGCAAGGGACCCAGATGAGCCAGGCATGGAATTACCTACTGGCCCAGTGTTGAGGCCCATGAAGGGCAACCAGGTTCTCAAAATCACCAAGGTTCCTCTTTAAAATGCAGGATGGACCTAGAGTCTGTCATACAGAGTGAAGTAAGTCAGAAAGAGAAAAACAAATACCGTATGCTAACACATATATATGGAATCTAAAAGACAAACAAAAAAAAGGTCATGAAGAACCCAGGGGCAAGATGGGAATAAAGACACAGACCTACTAGAGAATGGACTTGAGGACACGGGGACAGGGAAGGGTAAGCTGGGACAAAGTGAGAGAGTGGCACTGACATATATACACCACCAAATGTAAAATAGATAGCTAGTGGGAAGCAGCCGCATAGCACAGGGAGATCAGCTCGGTGCTTTGTGACCACCTAGAGGGGTGGGATAGGGAGGGTGGGAGGGAGGGAGACACAAGAGGGAAGAGATATGGGGATGTATGTATATGTATAACTGATTCTCTTTGTTATAAAGCAGAAACTAACACACCATTGTAAAGCAGTTATACTCCAATAGAGATGTTAAAATAAATAAATAAATAAAAATAAATAAATAAAATGCAGATTTCTAGCCTTGTCCCCAGAAAAACCTGTTAAATCAAGCTCTCTGTTAAATCAAGGTAGGGTCCGGGAATTAGCATTTCTTAACAGGTGCCCTACTTGATTGTTATTGCCACTGCACTGTCAGTAAGAGTCCTTCAAAGCCTTTGAACAGAGCAGTGAAGTGGATGAATTTGCGTTTCAACTAAGTTTCGGAGGCAACTGCATAGAATGTGTTCAGGGAGAAGAGATGAAAGGAAGAGATACTGACCAGCTGCGCAGGAGCTGAGCAGGGCCTGAGGCGTGGAACGGATGCCAGAAGGCAGGTTAGAAAACCATGTGGGGGTCAGGTTGCAGGGTCGGGCCACTGAATGACGTGAACAGTGAGGGTGAGAGAGGAATCAGGAGTGACCCCCAGGGTCACTGGCTGTAGTGACTGGGGTTTCCTTTGGGCACTGAGGGCCCTTTGGCATTTGACAGGTGCGTGTTATTCATCACAGTCTATCCAGTGAAAATGTTACGGGAGAAAATCAGTTGAAGGTGATTTTGCTGTCGATCAAAGTGGAAGAAGATGAAGCCACTAAGAAAACCTAGAGGGTGTAAGTGTATGCTTTTAAAAATAGCACAGTTTAGAATAAATTTCGACCAAAATTGGCCTTTTTTTTTTGCAGTTTTGGCAATTAAAAGGACTCAGTTATCTGGAATGTTCGCTCCTAGAGAATATCTCATTTCCCGAATAAATTGAGAATGTGGGGAGAGTGGGGTCTTATGTTTAAACCCAGTCTTACAAGAGGGCTAGTCTTGGGCAAGGGAACACTTTTTGGGGTGCCATGGTAGCTGCCAAGATCCAAAGACCAGATAAGCAAATCGTAGATCGAGCACTGGCAAGCAGTCTGGCAAGCGGGCCAGCTTGGCTAAAGTCATCACTGTCATGAAGATCTTAGAACAAGTCTTAAAATAAATATTAAGGTTTTCGTTTAAAACAACCTTATCCTAGAAACACTGCATGAGAAGAAAAAATGAAATTGCATAATCATTTTAAACTATATATGTACAAAGAGAACTTCAGTATAAAAAGGTGATTGTAAAACAACACAAGATAGCAAAGCCTAATGCCAAAAATAAAACCATTAACTCTGGGGGAAACCGTACGGCCCTGGGGGGGGACTGGAGCAGAGCACTGGCGGAACAGCTGTGTTGACACTTGTCACATTTGGTTGCCCAAAACACTGAAAGGTCATTCACTGAAGTTCTGGGTTCCAGTAAGAGTGGACTGTGTGAGTGGCCAGGAGCAGCTTCCCGAAGCCCCGCGTCCTTGAGCTGCCGGGAAGCAGATGAGTGTTCACTGTGGCCAAGCCGTAGGCAGCTGAGTGCGTGGGTCTTCACAGCTCGTTTCCTGCTTCCGCTTGGTCTTACATCTGAGTCATCTTGTATTTATGTCCTCCTATAGCATTTTCATAAGATGCTTGTGGCCAACACCATCCATCAACCTAATGGGCTCAAATGGAACTCTTTGAAATCTCCTGCGACATGCCTTGCTCTAAGAAAGGAAGAATTGTTAACAGTAATTCTTAAACTAGGAATTTATGTCTTCCCATAAATTGACCTTGAGAGGTTATTTGTGGATTCCAATAGAGAAACGTCTTTCCTAGGTCCCTGCAGTCCTCAGCCCTCCCCTTCCCCACCAACTGATGCCCTCTGCCCCCTCCTGCGAGCCCCAGGCCAGGATCTCTGGGGACAGAATCAGGGGTGTGTGTCTTGACTTGTTCCTTCTGCCATTTGCTCATTCAGCCGCTGAGTATTTATTGCACCTCTGCTTTTTCCAGGAAGGGTGCTGAGCACTGGAGATGCAGTGAGCAGGCATCTGTGCTCTCCTGGAGTCACCACCTAAACAAACAATTACACAAGTTCTTAAAAGGCCACTGTAAAGTGAACTCGGAGAAGCGCAGGCGCCGTTAGAGTCTCTGCAGGAGGCTTTGGTGGGCTCAGTTGCCCCACCCCTCGTGTTAATGCAGGTCTCTGGGGGGCTGACTTTGTGTGGGGGGCAGATCTCTGGACACTCCCTAAATCACCACCATTTTACTCAGCCATTTGCTGTGAAATCTCGACCTCAGAGGGCAGACCCTCCTGACCACGCTGGCCCTGGCCGGAGTCTCCTGTGCTCTGCTTCCCACCCAGCTCCTAGCTCCCTCCCTCTAACCCCAGCCCAGTTCCTGGGTCACTCTGACCTAAGGCTCAGGTCCCTGGGGGAAGCCAACTGCCAGAGGATACCTGGAGGGTGAGGGAGGAAGGGAGGTCAGAGCATCCTCATGGCAAAGCCTGGTCACCCTCTATACAAGTTTTAGTTTGTTTTACAATGTGTAGATCTCCTTAAACTTTTCTGATGATAAAACTACAATACATATATTATAATTAAAGCTAACATTTCAAAAACAAATAAAGTAAAAGTTCAGTGTATTCCCATCTTCCATTACATCTACCACCATAAATGACTTCTTGTAACAGTTTGGTGTTTATCCTTACAGATTTTTTTTTTTTTTTTTTTTGCGGTACGCGGGCCTCTCACTGCTGTGGCCTCTCCCATTGCGGAGCACAGGCTCCAGACGCGCAGGCTCAGCGGCCATGGCTCACGGGCCCAGCCGCTCCGCGGCGTGTGGGATCTTCCCGGACCGGGTCACGAACCCACGTCCCCCGCATCGGCAGGCGGACTCTCAACCACTGCGCCACCAGGGAAGCCCCTTCCGGATATTTTTGTCCTTATGTAAACACATTTTATTTTTATGTTGTCCTACATGTTCACATTGTCCTATAATTGACTTTATTTCATCTGAAAACTCATCACAGACACTTTTCAGGACAGTGCGTGTAGATACTCCTTATCCTTGCTGGGTGCCCAGTATTTCATCATAGGAATGTGCCATAACTGCTCTGTGAATCAATCGCCCGTTAACGAACTGTACGTTCTGCCATATTTTGTTGTAATAAATCTCATAGCAATGAATAGTCTTATACATACATCCCTCTGTGTCAATTTCTTCTTAGAAAGGTATTTGGGGTCTAACATCGTGCATTTTTAATGGGTTTTCATATGCAATGAGGTGCTCTTAACCACCCTTCACTTCATGCATGGCTGGATGGGCTGATGTACACCATTCCATGTGCTTCTCGTATATTCCCCTCTGCCAGCTGTGCACCTGTGTTTCCCACAATAGGCTCAGGTGCTCAGCTGGAGTGTGTTTGTTCCTGAATCTCTTTATTCCAGTTGAATTTGTTACTGTAATTGTGTAATTTATTTAATTGGTATATAAACCAAAGAAGCATGAGAGGGAAAAGAAAATGTTGTTGAAAAAAAAAGATATTTAAGTTATATTTTCCAACTCCCAACTTGAACTAAAAAAAAACTTTTAATAACTAGCCATTTACCCTAATCGTATTAGATTCAGTGGCTTCAACTGACTCATAAGCTTCGTTGACCATAGGACCATGTTTGCTGAGTTATATCCACTCTTAATTTGCCTTGCCAGCATTGCCTCTGAAAAAACATCCCCTAGCTGTTTGGTTTGTTTGTAAATGGGGTTCTCTTTTCTCCTTAGAAATACCTAAGAACCAGACATGTCTTATCTAGGGTATCCAATGTAATCTGCCTTGATGAAAGCGGATTTTTAGCCCTTCTTTTCATGTCATTGTAAGCTCTAGTAATGCTGACAAAGACACTGCACTCAACCTCATAGAAGAGAAATTTTCTATGCAGAAATTCCAGATTTTCTATTTGGAAATCACAACTGTTGCTTTTGAAAGTGAGAGAATGTCTATATGCAAACATCCTGCCACTTCCTAACCTAATATAACATTAGAAATGGTTTTACAGCCCCTCCAAAATTTACAAACCCTCTATGTGACTATTGTAGGTACTTAATAAGTATTTGTTGGACATGTGGATACACAGGGAAACACATTTCTACAGGATTGGCTGTACAGGGATCTCTAAGTCTGAATGAATTAAGTCATACTGAATTCGTTCAACAAATATTTGTTAAGTGTCCACTGTATACTTCCCAGTTTCTCATAACTGCTGGGGCCACAACTAGCCACAGTCAGTAGAACTGCTCCAAGATGCTTGTCATCTAGCTAGAGACTTCAGGCCACTGGGAAACGCAGAAATTCATTTAACTCAACAGAACCAGCACTCTGTGAAATGCTCTGACCATATGTGTACCTGGCCAGTGGAGCAGGCTGGTGCAAGGCAAGGCATTTCTTCTCATGAAATCCATCAATTCTGTACATCTTCTCAAGGCCTTCCCGTATCATTAAAGTATCAGTTTTACTTACACTGTATGACATTTGACAAAGCCCTGCAGAGACCGCCAGACATCTCACTGCTGTGTTTTCTCTTCTAGGACATCAACGAGTGTATTCTTGAAAACTATCCTGAGTGTTCCAACCCCAGGTTATTTTACATCATTCCGTATTTTTGTGGACAGCATCCCAGATGCAGGTAAAGACTGAAACAGGCTCATGACATGCTCACTTTGACAGCAATGACAGGAAACCCACCAACTGGCACTGCGTGGGCGTCTTCTGCATCCCCAGTCTCTCTAACTTCTGGAATTCAGTTAATATTTACTGTTAACCTTTCAAGATGGCATTTGAGATTCTGAATGTCCTGTAAATAAAGAAATTAACAAATCAAGGTCTGGCAGAGGCCTTGGGAACCACCCGTAAAGCTTGTGTAACTGAAATGCCAACCAAACTGTTCTTCACCTTTGACGTACACCTGTCACTCCCCAGCCCATGAGACAGTAAAGCCCAGGGGATGCGCCCAACCTGCTCCTCTGTAGTGACTGTGCTGCATCCACAGCTGTCCTTGCCAGTGTGGTGCGTCTGATTGGGTCTGAAACACTAGATGCTCGCACCCAAAATTCCAGAGTGTCTCTCCTGAGACATACTTAGTAGAAAGAGAAGAAAGTACTTTCTAGTGATCCCTCCTCAACCTTACTTGGTTGCAAGACCTTCTTTAGAAAGTGACTTATTCAGATAGTAAGGGCCCCTCAGTGTGGTCCACCCACCTGCATCTGCATCCCTGGGGTACTTGTTAGGAACCCTCACCTGATCACAGTCTCTGAGGTGAGGCCCAGGCATCTGTGACCACCTCCCAGGTGATTCTGGTCTAGCTACACTTGAAATTCGTTGTACTAGACTAATGCGTAGCCTCCAGAAGAAATGGTAGTAATGATGAATATTATCTTTGCTTGGTGGAAAATAAACCCTGCTGCCAGAAGCGGCATTTTCCCCGAAAGGAGACATTGATTAGAAGGTCGTTGTGTTCCTTAAGAGACTGGGGGTCGGGGGGGACACAGCTGTTTCCAAATTGCAGCTCACTCATTGTACTTTTTGCTTACACTGTGATTGCTGCTTAGTTATTATGTGTGTTGTTATTATTGACGTTTTGCTGAGTTAACCAATTTGTTTACGGTCAGAATTCTGGGGCTAGAAGTGTCAGTTTTCTGCTTCATTATAAACTCCTGAGTTCAGGAGGCCTCCCTCACCCACCCTGTCCCCTGTAGTAAATGCCTCCTGCTTCACGGTCAGGGCTTCAGATCCTGGGAAGATTTGGGGCCAGTTGACTCGCTTTCTGTCAAAATGAGGATATTTATTCCAAGGAACAAGATTCTAACTCCTTAAAGTACTTTTAAAATTATATATTTCCCAATCTTGGGGAGAGGACTTCTGATGCCTTATCTCGTGATGATTTTCAAAATGCTTTCAGAATGTCACCTTGTTCCACCTTGATGACAATTATTTGAGCTAAGTAAGGATTATTAAAAATTTTCAAAAAAGAATCCTGGCTTGCCCAAATTCCCCCGGATAGTCAATGCCAGCCAGGCCCGGAGCCCAGCTCCTGGGATCCCCATGCTGGGCTCTTTACATTCATATCAGTGTTGTTGGCTCAGAGATCTGCCTTACAAATAAGATTAGGCTGTTTTCCTTCTGTAATTGAAAAGAAAAAAAAAAAAAGGTTTGTTTTTAAATTCCTCAAAAGAATAAGAATAAGTGGTCATGACCTGACACCTATTTTGATTTCTACAGAAATCAAAATCAGTAAGTTTCGTATTTCAAAACTTCTAACTTTATGGGTTCGGTTTGGTCTTCCTATTAAAAGGCCATTCTAATCAGTGTTTATTGAGACCTAGCTGCCTGGGCCCATTTTCTCTTAACAAACATTTAGGTGGGGCTCGCTGGGCCCTGGAGAAAGTGGGATTTGGACTTATGTGACTGGGGATGGGTGGGAGAAGGGAGAAGCTTCCAACATGTTGTTGCTGCAATTCGAAAACCAATCTTTGATTTCAAAATCATTTTTATATTCATAAAGGGAGCCTGGTGAGTGGGCCCTTGAAAGAGCAAAACTGAACGTGAATGAAAACTTCCTGCTTGTGGGGATTCTTGAAGAGTTGGAAGATGTGCTGCTTTTACTGGAAAGATTTTTACCTCATTACTTCAAGGGTGTGCTCAGTATCTACAAAGACCCAGGTAACTCCGTCCGTAAGCAAGTGCTTCTCTGTTTTGAGGCTTACTCACCTTGAAAAGGACTCGGGAAATAAAGGCGTGAAATCATCTCTTCTGTTAGTGAAGGGGAGCTCCCCTGGCTTCAAAGCAAGGTTAGAACCACGAGATTTAGATACCAAAACCTTGAGCTTCAGGGCCAAACATAAACTCGCCATGTTTTAAAGGCCGGATGCTTCCATTTCTCCCTCTGGAAAGTGAGATTGGCAGCATTCCCGTCGGCCGTGTCCTGGTGCTGGGGTGAACCAATGAACACGCAGGTGTGTGTTGGAGTCCTAGGGGACTGTGATGAGGTAACTCTGGCCCTACTTCCATTTGACAAAAGCAAATCCTGGCACATAGAGTCCATAAAGCAGCACATTGAGAATACAATTATGATTTTACTCTAATAAATGGAGTGGGGCCCAAACAGAAGAAAGAGAATGCTGCAAAGCAATTATAAGGGCTGCCCATAGTGTCACTGTAAATATCATTACTTTCAGAAGTCCATAATTTGTTTTTCTCATTATAATTTTATCTTGAAAGGCAAACAACTTTGTTTGTTTCTTTCCTGTTCTTAATCTACTGCTGCCACAACAATACCTCTTCACTAATCCGTTTATGGTTTTGTTTTGTTGTCCGGCAATGGAAGGTATTATTCTGCTTTGTAGAAATGAGGCACAGAGGAAGGGCTCCTCAAACGAAGCCTCTGCCTCACATGCCACGCAGCCAGGCAGGGACCTCGTACCACACCTGCATCACTGACAGGTGCTGATGCCCAGGTGAACTGGTTTTGCCTACAGGAGCCCTGACTTCTGTTCCATCGGGTGGCCCTACCACTACCAGGGACTCGCTGGGGGAAGGTGATTTTGGCTTGGTCTCTTTTTTGAAATAGGGCCTTCCTTTGCCCTTTCAACACTGGGGAATTTGAAGAGATCAAAGAATTTAAAGAGTTCTCCTGTGACCAGTTTTTAGCTCTGTAGGACAAAGTAAACTCTGGTCTTTGTGCAAGGAGGAGTCTCACCCTAAATCAGCCTCCTTTGAAGAAAAGGTTTACGTTATTCATTGTTATTTCCCTTCTTTGGCTTTATCTTGTATAGTGTGTGTGTGTTGGGGGTGTGTGAGATGTACAGTATGAGATAAAGGGCTGACTGGGTCTTGGAGACACACAGCTGTCAGATAAGAACACACTCTTGTCCCAGCACTTGGGAAGGGTATGGGTGAGGCCACATCATGCACTTCATCCATCCTGGGATCTGGGATTGACACGATTCACAGGATGTCGCAGCCCAGCACACCAAAGGTCAACATCAGGTAGGTCTGATAACTTAGAAGAGGACATTTTAATCTTTGTTCTTCTTAAATACAAATAAACCACAGACAAAAATCTTAGCCCCAAGGGCTCACTTACCTACCATTGTCAGGATGTATCATCTTCACTTCGCAACTGTTTTCCTCATTTAAATACCTGACTTCTCAGGAATTGTGGGCCTTCGTCCCGTGATCTAGAAGCCCATTAATTAAAGTAGAACATATTTCTGAAAATTGAGTGACTGTTAGCTCTTTTGTCTTTAGCTGTGATCTTTCCACCTATAAAGATTTTTCTCCCCTTAGAGTTTGGCATAGCAATATATGAAATACTTCTGAGGCTGCTGCCCCAGGGAGAACGCAGGCCAGCCAACACATTACCAGCTTACACAGTCCAGCTATACTAGTGGTTAAAACAGCGAGACACGTCTACACTGCCCTGGGCTCCCACCCTCCGGGTGCACTTCCACACACACACACCCCCGCCCCCCCCCCGCCCCCGCAAGGGGGTCTTCAGGACTCTGGCCCAGGACTCAACAACTGTTCTAATTTAGTTCCTGAGTGGAACTGGTGTTAAATATTTTGCATATCACTCCAGTGTAATGGTCTCCGCTGCTACACGGCACGTAGACAACATTCTTCAGTAACTTCCCCTGTGTTTTGTGGTCTCTCAGGCACCTTCTGTGAGATTTTTCTATGGTAACCTTGAAGGCCAAGCAGCTCCACAGTTGCTCTGACCCAAAGAGTTTCCTCATCCCCTGAAGCAGGGGACAGGAGGTGAGCATCCTCGCCTGGCCAGCTTTCTGGTATATTTTAGCCTCTGCAAAGACTAAGCCCCTGTATTGTTTCCTCATGGCCACAGATCAGTGAGCTGGTATCAAATAGGTTAAAGGAAGAGAAGCAGCAGGTCACTTCATCATTCACACCAGAGCCTCATCACCTGTGCATTTTCAATCTACACTCACAGACAATGGCCCACGAAAATCATTGCTGTTGCCCTTTATCCAAGAATTTTATAACTGAGTAGACTAGAGGACAGAGGGAAGAAACGCTAAAATCTGAGACCTTTAAACATTTGTAGATTAAACTGACCATGGAGCTCGATTAAGAGGCAAACACTCCACTGGCCATTTTTCTTTGGTGCTCATCCTGTTATTTAAAAAATGCAGGTGTGTGCAGATTTCAGTAATCCCCTTCCAGCAAGATGAAAAGTATTTAGACCAGTCTCACTGCTGAAGAAAAAACACTAATAACAATAACCGGGGAGCTGGTAAAAATAACGTCTGCTAGTCAAATGGGTTGTCACTTATTCTAGACTGGAAGGATAGTCATTAATTCTTTCCAGTCAGTACTGTGGGTTCCAATAAGCCACCATTTAGAGAAGTTAATAACTTCGCTAAATAATAGGTCAACTGTTTGTGCTCCCTCACCCCATTCATTGCCTGCAAGAAGGTATATGCTGGTGAGTAAATTTGTCTCCTACCAAAAATATTTGAGAAACTTAGTCTTCATAAATTTTTTTGAAATTTAGTCATTTTATATTAATGTTTGCACTCTGTGGAGACCCAGTTAGTGTATCTCAGAAGAAGTTGAAGATAATAAGTACTCGAGATGAAATAAGAATGAAAGTTGTAGCCTGGTGGATAACCAGGAGAACACACTCGGCTATTTCCCTCCAGCCCAAGGGCAGTTGCTAATGTTGAGGCCAGTACCTTGGAGTGAGGGCTCAGTAAACTCCACCCAACCTGGGTATGAGTTTGAATTGGGGGAACCAAGGCCGAAACAGATTTACTGGGTAAGAGTGACCTCACTTCTTCAATTTATGCGGTCTCATGTTTTATTGATTAATCTCGATTACATTTGCTCATTACTTAACTTTCAAAAGTGAGAAGCTTGGAGCCGGCCCAAAGAATTGGAGAGACAGCTCCATGGTCATCCGCCGAAATGTGAACCAAAGGGCCGCAGCTTAGAGTTTCTGAGCCACTAGCGTTAACGTGTTCATGAATGCTTTTCCCCCTTAGCTCTTAAAAAGGGACACGCTGTGAGCTATCAATATTTTTCTTAGTCATAGTTTCTTTAGGAGCTAAAATCAAAGTGGTGTTAAAGGCCACAATAAATAAGTAAATTAATTAAAGACCGAATAAGTGAATATCTGTGATAGGAAAAGTCCTTATATCAGCGTCTCCCATATCTGCCCCTGACTTGGTGAGTAACCCAGCTGTTCCAGTTCAGTAGTGCCACTTAGCATCCAGATATGGAACAACAGGACCTGATATTTTAACCCTCCTACGTGAGGACTACGTGAGGACTTGGAAGCTAATCCTTTCCCCTTGTGTCTTAAATACTTTCCAGTCCTTTTCCCTTGTATTCTAAATACTTTCCGTGACTAGCATTACCTTAGTATTCATTTTCAACTTGTTTCCGTTACAAATGTAAACACTGGAACCTCAATAGAGAATTTACAAGACTTTTGTGGGCTGTCTTGAGAATCTGGCCACCAACTATGTACTACAAAGGAAAAATGTCTAATTCCAAACAAAATGACTTCCGTGCTGACTTTGAGGATTTAAGTTCATTCATAAATTGGGTGCTTTGTTTTTTTTAAAAAAAACTGCTTATACTGAAATGTTTTTTATTAACAATGATGATTAAAAAATTTAAATATTTTTGTAAAATTTAAATATTTTTAAAAAATTTAAATATTTTTTTCCTAGGCATGAATGATAATTAGACTCCTATTAAGGGTATAGTAGTGTACTCTTGGAGTTCATTTGCATTACAGTATTCAAATCTGAGGATATTTACATAGAAAATTAAAATTGTCCTATTATTCATAAAGAAAAGTTACCATTATTATTTTTTTATGCGGTTCGCGGGCCTCTGACTGTTGTGGCCTCTCCTGTTGCGGAGCACAGGCTCCGGACGCGCAGGGTCAGCCGCTCCACGGCATGTGGGATCTTCCCGGACGGGGGCACGAAGCCGTGTCCCCTGCATCGGCAGGCGGACTCTCAACCACTGCGCCACCAGGGAAGCCCAAGAAAAGTTGTTTTTTAAGGAAAGAACACTGAGTTGGGAGTTTGAAGAGACTCCTTGTCCTCTTTCTGCCGTGGTTCTGCCCGAGCAAATGTAGCTTTGGGTGGTTGATCGCTAAGGTCTATATTATTACGATACTAAAGTATCACATAGAAGGTTTTAAGTCTCCTCTTTCTACCTTCTGTTGGTTAGCACAATTAAACGGTGCTTCCCCCCACCCCACCCCGCAAAAACCACAGGCAGTCCCCGTTGCCTTCGTAATTCCCAGGTTTAGTTATGGAGACTATCGCCACCTAGAGGACATGACGAATCCTCGCTGCAGGGTCATTCCTTCAGAATCCGTTCTTCCCTAAGCCAGGGATCCCAACACACTCTCTGGTCACACTGTCCACCCTTCTTTCTCCACACCATATGCATTTCTGTCCAGAAGACAGAATATCATAATTATTAGGGCACAGGCTCTGGAGTAGGCAGCCTGGGCATTAAAGCCCGTTCTCCACTTAACTGGATAACCAGAGGTAAGGTGTAACCCCTGTACCCCATAGCTTCCCCATCTGTATAAGGCACATAAACAGTACTGTCTACTTCGCAGGGTTGTTGTGAGAGATGAACGTGATCGAATCCATGTAAAGCCCTTGGCCCAGAGC